GCCAGATCATGACCTGAGCTGAAAACCTTCCTGAGTTGGAAGCTCAACTGACTAAGCCACCCAGGTGCCCCACAGATACTGTGTTTTTTACAAACTGAAGGTTTGTGACAGTCCTGCATCGAGCAAATCTATAGCCTCCATTTTCCCAACAGCATTTGCTCAGTTCGTGTCTCTGTCACATTTTGGTAATTTTTGCAATGTTTTAAAGATGTTATTTTTATTTATTTGAATGAGAGAGAGAACAAGTGGGGGGGAGTTGGGGAGGATCAGAGGGAGAGGGAGAAGCAGACTCCCCACCAAGCAGGGAGCCCCATGTGGGGCTCGATCCCAGAACTCTGGGACCACGGGGGCACCTGGGTGGCTCAGTCAGTTATGCATCTGCCTTCAGCTCAGGTCATGATCTCAGAGTCCTGGGATGGAGTCCCGTGTCAGGCTCCCTGCTTGATGGGGAGTCTGCTTCTCCCTCTCCGTCTCGCTCTCCCTCTGTGTAATTGCTCTCTCTCTCTCTCAAATAAATAAATAAAATCTTAAAAAAAAAAAAAAAGAACTCTGGGACCACGACCCAAGCCAAAGATAGACAACAGATGGAACCACCCAGGTGCCCCAATTTTCACAATGTTTTAAACTTTTTCATTATTATATTAGTTATGGTGATCTGTGATCAGTGATCTTTGATGTTACTATTGTATGTTTTGGGGCACTGTGAACTGGGCCCATATGACAGCCAACTTGATTGATAAATGTGCATGTTCTGAATGCTCTGCTGACCAACCATCCCCCCATCTCTCTCCCTCTCCTTGGGCCTCCCTATTCCCTGAGACATAACAGTATTGAAATTAGGCCAACTAATAATCCTACAATGGCCTCTAAGTTTTCAAGTGAAAGGAAGAGTTATATGTCTCTATTTTTTTTAAGATTTTTTTATTTTTTATGTATTTGAGAGAGAGAGAATGAGAGAGAGAGCACATGAGAGGGGGGAGGGTCAGAGGGCAAAGCAGACTCCCTGCCGAGCAGGGAGCCTGATGCGGGACTCGATCCCGGGACTCCAGGATCATGACCTGAGCCGAAGGCAGTCGATTAACCAACTGAGCCACCCAGGCGCCCTATATGTCTCTCTTTAAATCAAAAGCTAGAAATGATTAAGCTTCATGAGGAAGGCATGTCAAAAGCTAAGACAAGCCAAAAGCTAGGCCTCTTGTACCAAACAGTTAGCCAAGTTGTGAATGCAAAGGAAGAGTTCTTGAAGGAAATAAAAAGCGCTACTCCAGTGAACACATGAATGATAAGACAGTGAAACAGCCTTACCACTGATACAGAGAAAGTGTTAGTGCTTAGGATAGAAGATCAAACCAGACACAACACTCCCTTAAACCAAAGCCTAATCCACAGTAAGGCTCTAACTCTCTTCAATTTTATGAAGGCTGAGCGAGGTGAGGAAGCTGCAGAGGAAGAGTTGGAAGCCAGCAGAGGTTGGTTCATGAGGTTTAAGGAAAGAAGCCGTCTCCATAACATGAAAGTGTAAGGGGGGGCAGCAGGTGCTGATGGAGAAGCTGCAGCAAGTTCTCCAGAAGACCCAGCCCACATAATCCATGACGGTGGCTACACTACACAGCCTTCTATTCAAAGAAGATGCATCGAGAACCTTCATAGCTAGGGAAGAGAAGTCAATGCCTGGCTTCAAAGCTTCAAGGGACAGACTGAGTCTCTTGTTAGGGGCTAATGCAGCTGATGACTTAAAGTTGAAGCCAGTGCTCATTTACCATCCTCAAAATCCCAGGACCCTTAGGAGTTGCGCTAAATCTACTCTCCCTCTGCTCTATAAATGGAACAACAAAGCCTGGCTGACAACACATCTGTTTACAATGTGGTTTAGTGCATATTTTAAGCCTACCATTGAGACCTGCTGCTCAGAAAAAAGATTCCTTTCAAAATATGACTGCTCATTGTCAATGCATGTGGCCACCCAAGAGCTCTGATAGAGATCTCCAAGGAGATTCCTGTCATTTTCTTGTCTGCTCACACAATATCCATTCTGAGCGCATAGATCAAGGAGTAATTTCAATTTTCAAGTCTTATTATTTAAAAATACATTTTGTGGGCACCTGGGTGGCTCAGCTGATTAAGCGTCTGCCTTCAGCTCAGGTCATGATCTCAGGGTCCTGGGATCGAGCCCCACGTTGGACTCTCTGCTCAGTGGGGAGTCTGTTTCTCCCTCTCCCTCTCACTCTCCTGCTCCCTTTGTGCTCTTCCCCCTTCTCTCTCAAATCAATAAATAACATCTTTTAAAAAAAAGAAAAAGAAGTACATTTTGTAAGGCCACAGCTGCCAGAGATCTATCAGCCACCACCCTGATCAGTCAACCATCAACATCAAGACAAGACCCTCTGCTAGCAGAAATATGTCTTGCCGAAAGCTCAGATGATGGTTAGCATTTGTTAGCCATGCCATATTTTTAAGTTAAGGTATGTACATTTTTTAGGTATAATACTATTGCACACTTTATAGATTACAGTATAGTGTAAACGTAACTTTTGTATGCACTAGGAAACCAAAACATCCATTTGAATCACTTTATTTTTTTTTAAGATTTTATTTATTTACTTGAGAGAGAGAAAGAGAGAGAGAGCCTGAGAGGGGAGAGGGTCAGAGGGAGAAGCAGACTCCCCACTGAGCAGGGAGCCCGACTCAGGCTTGATCCCGGGACTCCAGGATCATGACCTGAGCCAAAGGCAGTCACCCAACCAACTGAGCCACCCAGGCGCCCCTATTTGAATCACTTTATTGTGATATTCACTTTATTACAGTGGTCTGCAACTGAACCTGCAATACCTCCAGGGTATGTCTGTACTTTCTTCCTTTCTCTTGAAGGAGTGTTTTGGGAAATAATATCTCTTGTAGTAAAGAAACTATTTTTTTAAGTTTAGAAATCATTTCATTTTTACCTCAGTTGATTTTTCTTCTGTTAATTCAAATTAAAAACTAAATGTCTTGTTCCATTTGAAAAAAAAATCTATATTATCTCATACTTATACAATTATACCTATCCACCTATCTACCTCCACCCACTCTCTCTCCCTCTATCAGTCTACCTGCGTGGAATGAGATGTCTCCCATGGCATCCTCCACATGTTGACACTGGTCACTGGATTGTGGGTGGCTTTTCCCTTCTTCTTCATGCTTTTCCATGTTGCTTGAATTTATTTTAACAAGGATGAGTCCTCTTAATAAAAACAGTACAATTAATAATTTAAAAAATAAGATGATGGGGTGCCTGGGTGGCTCAGTCGGTTAAGCATCCCAACTCTTGGCTTCAGCTCAGGTCATGATCTCAGGATCATGGGACTGGACCCCTCATCGTGCTCTGTGCTGGGTTGTGGAGGCTGCTTGAGATTCTCTGCCTCTCCCTCTGCCCCTCCCTCTGCTCACGTGCTCACTCTCTCTCAAATAAATAAAATCTTTTTAAAAATAAATAAAAAATGAAAAATAAGATGAGGACAATAATATATAATTTTCAGAATTGTTGAAAGAATATACGTGTGTATACCATATATAGTGATGTGTGGGTGTATATGTACACACACCACAAACACACACACATGCACACCTACGGCCTAGCACACTTCCTGGCATGTTGTAGGTACTCAGTGGATGGTAGGTGCTATTATTATTATTATTATTATTATTTTATTATTTTCCTGGAGAGAAGAAGAGCCTTAAATCCTGACTGTAACAATCTCCTATATTAGTTGGGGTTCTTAGTTGCAGAGATGGGCATCCACTCCATTTGGCTTTTTGAAGCCTATTGGGTGGCTTACGGGAACACCAGCAGGGACTCAGAAGACCCCCAGACAGGAACAATGGCCACATCACCCCGCAGGAGCACGCCAACAGAGACAACCCTCCTGCCACAGTGCTCTGCACAGACCCCACAGCTCCCAACATGGACCCCAGGCAGGATGCTGACACCTCAGCTTCTGCTGCCCCTCAAGGCCAGAGAGTGGACTCCATCTGGTGCCGCTTCCTTTCACTTCTGTCTTCTAAATACAAGTCCTGTGCATGTGACTCCAATTTATGGCACCAAGTCAGAGGCCTGCATCCCAGAGACGAGAGGCTGCAAAAGCAAGGTCTTGACTTCTACCTTGGAGACATAGGACTCATGATGGAGGAGACCCCCCCCCCCACATACGGAAAGGTGGTCAAAGATCCTAGACAGCCTCAAACAGGGCAATCACTGTCAGCAACACTTCCTAAGTATCCCTTACAAAGCTTGATGATCCAAAGACCAAAAGGATCCCAAGAACACTTGAATATTTTGGTAAAATGTTTCCTTATTTATCCACAGCTTCCTGCTAATTCACTGAAATAGATTTATATAAAATTCTAAGATCTCAGAGAAGGGATCCCTTATTTGATGTAAACAGTGTTATCAGAGACCTCTCAATTCTTAGCTAAAAGAGGGACAGAGTTGTTATAAAAACTATAAACTGCCTATAAAGAAAAATATTTAAAAAGCAAGTGAGAACTAGAGATTTACAGCAGATATGATGGAAGGAGGTTAATATATGTTGATGCTCCAAACCTCATACAAATTACTTAAAAAAAAACTAGGGTGCCTGGCTGGTGTAGTCAGTAGAGCATGTGACTCTTGATCTCAGGGTCATGAGTTCAAGCCCCATATTAGGTGTAGAGCTTACTTAGAACACAAAGAACAAACCAAAAATCCCACTAAAAACCCAATAGATACATGGGCTAAGGACATGCACAGCTGACTGACAGAGGAGAAAGTGCAAGAAGACCCATGATATAGAAAATATTAATTCTTACATACTGCTGAAGCCGAAGGGAGACTACCTCTGTCTGGGGGTCAAGCATCTTGCATGTGTTCTTATTTTATCCTCACGCCCATAAGCGTATTAGATATCATAATTGCCATGTGTAAGTGAGGAAACTTGACATTTGGAAGGGTTGCGTCACCCTTTGACCAATATCACTCGGTGTGCTCGCTTCAGCAGCAGGCGTACTCAAATTGGAACCATGCGGGGAAGATTAGTATGGCCCCTGCTCGAGGATGACCCGTATCACTTGGCAAGCTGGAACTGAAAGACCAGGGTCCTTTCATTCACCAAACTATGTCTCTAGTGATTGGTATGATTCAAATCAAACTCTTTTCACCTCTGAAATTAACAAAACCTAATGCTAATGAGAACATGGTGGAAAGGTCCTTCTCATGAGGGACTGTGGGTGGGTGAGTAAATTAAAAAATCCTCTGAAATCTGTCAGGACCTATTAAGAGCCCTAAGAATTTGATTTCCATTGACCCGGTCATTCCACTTTAAGAGAATCTTCTCTTAGTGAATAATTCAACATGTGGAAAGTGTTATGGGCAAAAAGATGTTCTTCAAGGATTTAAAAGAGTGAGCAATTGGAAACAACCTAAATGTCTAGAATTATCTAACTCAATTGGTACATGTTTACTTTCCTCCTAATAGAAGATTATATAGCCATTATAAACATGCTACAAATATTATAAAGGGAAATATTCATATAGTTTTTAAAAATCTTTTTTAAAAAATTATAGTTGACATACAATAACTACTATATTGGTTTCAGGCATATAACCTAGTGATTCAACATTTATATACATTATGAAATGTTCACCATGATAAGTACAGTTACCATCTATCACCATACGTCGTTATTACAATATTATTGACTGTATTCCCTATGCTGTACTTTCCATCCCCGTGACTTATTTATTTTATAACTGGAAGTTTGTATCTCTTAACCCCCTTCACCTATTTTACCCATCCCTCACCCTCTCTCCCATCTGGCAACCAACCACCAGTTCTCTGTATTTATGAGTTTACTTATTTTTTGTTGGTTTATTCATTTGTTTTTTAGATTCCACATATAAGTGAAATTGTATGGTATTTGTCTTTCTCTGTCTTAGTTCACTTAGCATAATACCCTCTAGGTCCATTCATGTGGTCACAAATGGCAAGATCGTGTTATTTTTTATGACTGAGTAATATTCTTTATTTTCCTTATCCATTCATCTATTGATAGATACTTACATCACTTCCATATCTTGACTATTGTAAATAATGCTGCAATGAACATTACGGTGCATGTATCTTTTTGAATTAGTGTTTTCATTTTCTTCAGGTAAATACCTGGAAGTGGATTTACTGGATCATAGGGTAGTTCTATTTGTAATTTTTTGAGGAACCGTCATACTGTTTCTCATAGTGCCCACACCAATTCACATTCCCACCAACAGTGCACAAGGGGTCCCTTTTCTTTATGAGCCTCGCCAACAGTAGTTATTTCTTATCTTTTGGATGCTAGTCATTCTGACTTGTGTGAGGTGATATCTTACTGTATTTTTAATTTGCAGCTCCATGATGATGAGTGATGTTGAACATTCTCCATGTGTCTCTTGGCCATCTGTATGTCTTCTGTGGCAAAATATCTCTTCAGACAGGTCCTCTGCCCAATTTTTAATCAGATTGGTTGTTTTCTTTTTCATGGTGAGTTGCATGACTTCTTTATATATTTTGGATATTAACCCATTATCAGATATATCATTTGCAAATATCTTCTCTTATCCAGTAGGTTACCTTTCCATTTTGTTAATGGTTTCCTTCATTATGCAAAAGTTTTTAATTTGATGTACTCTCAATTGTTTATTTTTGCTTTTGTTGCCCTTGCATGAGGAGACAGATCCAAAAAAATACTGCTAAGGCTGATGTCCAAGAGTTTACTGCTAATGTTTTCTTTTAGAAATTCTATGGTTTCAGGCCTCACATTTAGGTCTTTAATTCATTTTGAGTTTGTTTGTGTATGGTGTAAAAAAGTGGTCCAGTTTCATTCTTTTGCATGTAGCTGTCCAGTTTTCCCAGCACCATTTACTGAGGAGACTGTCCTTTCCCTATTGTATATTCTTGCCTCCTTTGTCATAGGTTAAATGCCTATATAAGCATGGGTTGATTTCTAGACTCTGTATTCTGTTCCATTGATCTGTCTCTGTTTTTGTGCCTGTACCATACTGTTTGGATCACTATAGTTTTATAGAATAATTTGGATTCTGGGATTGTGATACTCTGGCTTTGTTCTTCTTTCTCACGTTTGCTTTAGCTATTCAGGGTCTTTTGTGGTTCCATACAAATTTTAGAATGATTTGTTCTATTTGTGTTGAAAAATACTACTGGTATTTTGATAGGGCTTGCATTGTAGATCGCTTTGGGTAGTATGGACATTTACTAAAATTAATTCCTCCAGTTCATAAGCATGGTTTATCTTTCCATTTATTTGTGTCATCTTTAATTTCTTTCCTCAATGTCTTATAGTTTCAGAGTGTAGGTCTTTCACTTCCTTGGTTAAATTTATCCCTTTATTCACATCCTTGGTTAAATTTTATTCTTTTTAATGCAGTTAGAAATGGAATTGTTTTCTTAATTCCTTTTCTATTTCATTATTAGTGTGTAGAAATACAACAGATTTCTGTATATTAATTTTGCATCCTGCAACTTTACTGAATTCATTATTAGTTATCATATTCCTACAACCTCCTAAACTATGAAAGAAATTGAGAATCACCTTAAAACAAGAGAGGCATTGTCACGAACATTGCTAAGAGAGTAGATCGTAAAAGTTCTCATCACAAGAAAAAAGTATTTTTGTAACTATGTGTGGGGATGGATGTGAATTACACTTCTGTAGTAATCATTTCACAATAGAAACCTATATCGAATCATTATATTGTAACCTAAAACAAGTACAATGTTATATGTCACTTACACTTCGATTGAAAAAAAAGAAGACAAGGTCTCCTCCTGAAAGTGAAGGCAAATGTGTGGAGGGACTGAAAGGAGGGGAGGAGAGAACATCTGGAATAGTGGTTGAGGAATGGAGGGTGAAAGCGACTGGGGGCATGGGGTGGTATTGGACAGGGGTTGAGAACAGTGGGATTATGGTGGCAGCAATCTTCACATAAAATAATTTCCCTGTAGGAGAACCCAGCAGTGGGTACTAGAGCAAGAAGGGGGCCAAGGTTGACCTGGAATTAAGGTTCCGTTTGGCAGGTGGCACCAGGATGGGAGGGTACCGGCTGGAGGACATTTCTATGAGTTATAGCCTGTGGGTCTGGACTTAGAAGCAGGAAAGGCTGGATGACAATGAAGGGCCGACCAAGGTTAATAGCTTTAATCCATAAAATATATAAAAAGCTCATATACTTTAATCAGAACACTATTAATAGCCCTTCCCTTAAAACAAGAGAAAAAAATCATGAACAGGAATTCAAATAACCTAACAAATATATGGAATCTGTTCACCCTCATAGTGGTCAAATAAATGAGAATTTAAATACTGAGGTATCATTTTTCACCTACCATGGTAGGAAAGAAAGCCTAATTTTTTTTTACTTTTTTAGAGAGGGAGAGGAGTGGTTGGGGCCGGGGGGGCAGAAGGAGAGAAAGAGAATCTTAAGCAGGCTCCACACCCAGCATGGAGCTCAATCTCGTGACCTGAGATCATGACCTGAGCCGAAATTGAGAGTTAGACGCTCGACCCACTGAGCCACCCAGGGCCCCAAGCCCAACTTTTAAAACTGAAAGTGCTTCATTGCTGTTGAATGAGAGGAAAACTTCAGGGGTATAAGTTAATGTAAATCTTTAAGAAAATAACTTGGCAACAATTTCTTGAAGCCTTAAAATTTTTACCCCTTGAATTAGTAATTTTACTCCCAGGAATTTATACTAAGGAAACAATACAAAAGAAAAACAAAAAATTGGGAGAGGGACATCCTTCGCACTCCCCTGCCAGTCAACACTACACTTGCACCCAAAGAACTAAGTCAGGTTAACCTTCAGGAATAATGAAACCTTAGGGCTATTAATGTCCCATGAGGCTCTCTGTCCCCCAATTGATAGACATCACAATAAAGTAAGGTTTCTCAGCCTACTTCTCCACAGAGGCAGGTCATAAAGTCCCCTAACTTGATTGCAATTACTCCTGCATTTCTATTCCTCCTCAATTTCTATTTTTAGCTCTTTGGTTACCACCCACTAGACTGTGAACTCAAGGGCAGTGATGTCAGTCTTATTTATCTATTTGTCTCCTAACCACCTCTACACCCTTTTGCTAACACTCACATGGTAGGTGCTTCATAGATTTGGGTAGTATTGGCTTTCATTTCAGCCGCCCCCTACTCCATCATCTCCCATCCTCTACCCTCTTCAGTTTGTGCATTTGGCTGAAGATCAAGTTGGTCTCTTTGTTCAGTTAATTTGTTCTTAAGTGTCCTTGTGTATGTGCCAACCAGTTGGCATTTCAGAGGTGCCATGTTTTTTAATAGACTCTTGCGTCACATACCTTAGGGTCAATGACTGGGTTTATCAGCATAATAACTTTCTATAGCTCTTACTAATAAAGGGATATGGCAACACATGGGTAATAAAACATGGTAGGGAATCAGCTGACTCATGAAAAGTTAAAACTGGAGAGGAGCTCAGGAAATGACGGTATTGCTCCCCCCGCCCCTCTAGTTTTGCAGATAAGGAAACCGAAGATCAGAGAGGGGCAGATTTCCCAAATTTATGTAACTTGTTCATGGGATGGTTGAGATAAGAGTTCAGGGTCTAGACATCTGGTGTATTCTGATTAACAGGGTACATGTCATCAAAAGTATGTGTCATGAGAACATGTGAGCTACAGAAGTGTATGAGAGAGGGCAAGGCCAGCAAGCCCAGCTATGTTGAGTGACCATGGCAGAACTCCATAGTGGAGGTAGAAATTGCCAGTGATTCTGTGAGAGGGTCTGGTTGGAGAACAGGGGCAGGGATGTGGGGCAGATGTAGACAGGTGTCTGGATGACATAGGAACAGTGTGGTATGGTGAGTAGAGCATGGCCTTTGAAAACTGGAATGTAGTCCCAGGGCTGTCACATAACCTCATGCTACTTAATTTCTCTAAGACCCAAGTCGTTAGTCTGTAAAACTTGCCCATAGAACCGGCTTCTCAGGGTTGAGTTAAAGGAGACAATGGATGTGTTATATTATTCAACTCAGTCCCTGGAGAGAGCTCTGGAAGATGGTGGTTTGT